TATTGTTTATTTCATCTTCAGTTTCAAAGTTTTACTTGTGATGGTCAGATCGCCAAGCTTAAAGTAAGATTTTAAAGACTCTTATGCTATAGTTAAAAAGCCAGCTAAATTATGACAGTTATAGGACATTGTTTGCTTTGTGCCAGTTATTATTCTGCATTCTTGGATGCATTATTTAATTAAATAAATATTATTTAGTGCAGTAATATCGTTAATATGAATGAGTAGGCTAAGTTTTATCAACAGTCAACAGCAAAAAACAAGAGGATCCAGGTAAGTACTATATTTCTTGTTTTTCATGTGTATTCTTTATGTATTATTATAAAGTATGTAAAATATAAAAATTATAAACTTATTAAGTTGTATAAGGTTTAATTAGGTAAAATAATGAAAAATAGATAAAAATTCTTCATGAGGTATATCCTTGAGCATTTCATACATTATGTAATTCAATAAGGTAACGTGATCTCTGTTTTTGCTGAATGACTTACAACATGTGGCGGGATTATTAGTTAGATATGGTTCAAATGGCAGTAAAAGAATAAAATGAAGGATAAAAAAGATGTAAACTGTTACAAACCTTAAGCTATTTAGGATAAACAATTGTTATCTCCTGTTACAATATGTAGTCTTTTTATAAATAAAAATGGGAACTTTAGATATATTTCTTAATTTTTTATTGTTATTATGAGATTGGTCAAATCAACCAACTCTGTAAAGAGTTAGGGTAGAGTAAGTAGTAGAAAAAATAACAATTTTCTTCATTTGTAATTTTTTAGTTCACTCAATTGACTGTAGGCTAGGTTTAAAATGTAATTTGGTACAATGTTGTGGTATTTGAATATACCATGTGTTTATTTTTTTTTTCCTTTGTTGTTCTTGAAAGTTGATAATACCTGTTACCACATGGGGATGACATTGCTTAATATGACACATTGTGTAAAAATGTCAACAACAATGTCCTTCAACAGTTGTTCAGGTGATATTGTAATGGTCTAAAATGAACATGCCACTACAAGCAGGGCTCAACAACAAAAACACAATTTATTCACAATAACAACACTTGGAAATAAATTCAACCCAGTTAATAAAAAAATGCTTGGCCAGGATTTCATACCAGTATTAATGAATAATTTATCTTAAATATTAATAAATTAATAATAATGGAACCAGGAAAAAGAATCAGAAAAAACCTAATTCCAAAAACATATACAGCAATTACAATATTCAAACAATACCTTTCAATATCAATAAAAATATTGAGTGACAAACAGCAATAACTATACCCTTCAACAACTTATCTCATGACTCTCTCTCTTTCAGTGAAGGCAGGGTATTTATTCAAAGAGTAGGTCATGAGAGTACAATCTCATGTAATCATAAATTTACATACTCTTCTGTTACACTAATTGTATTTGTACATCACTGCTAGGGAAGCTGGTGTCAGTTTTATCATACAAATACCTGTGCTAGTCTTAGTGGAATTGGACTAGTATCACCACAGTTGCAGGATGGAGTAGAATGTGTGTGAATGTTTAAATTTTAACATTGAAATATTCACTAAGTAGGGAACTTTCATGAAAGGGTAAGCGTAATATATAGAAAATACTTTTAATTGTGGTTATTTTCTGTAAGAGTGGTTTGAAGTATTTTAATTCTTTCAAATTGATATGATTTATTGGGCAAAATTAGCAGTATATGAAATTCACAATCATAGCAAATATAAATTTATTGTACTCAGTGTTTTATTTGGTTGTGATAGAATATTTTTAATCATGTAGATTGAAATATTTAGTAAAACACAAAATTTTCTTAATATTTTCTTAAAATTATTTCTATACAAGGAGCAGTATAAGGTTCATGAAAATGCAGGCCATTAGCATAATGTGGGGGGGGGGGAGTAGTGGAAAATAACACCATAACTAGTACTAAATTTGTAAATGAGAGAAGGCTTCTAAAGAAAGACAAAAAAGTTTTCTTGAATCCTAATGATCAAAAGTGAAAGTTAGCATTACTAATTCAAGTCAGCATATATATGTGTGTGTGTAGGATCTGGGTTGAGAGTAAGCATGCTGTCCATTACCATAGGAATGGGAATAGAGTGCAGTATGGCTAAAAAAACGTACTGGTCAAGCAGAGACCCAATAAGTCCTGTGGGCAGAGCAGTTCATTGGTGCAAGGGCTACATGTTATATGAGCAATGAGAACATGAGCACAAATGAAACCTGTAGAAATATCTCTTGAACAAGGTGGTTTGTGTATTATTATTGTGTAAAATTATTTCTATACAAGGATCAGTATAAGGTTCATGAAAGTGCAGGCTGTAAGCATAATATGAGGGGGGGGGTAGTGGAAAGTAACACCATAACTAGTACTAAATTTGTAAATGAGAGAAAATTTCTAAAGAAAGACAGAAAGTTTTCTTGAATGCTAATGATCAAAAGTGAAGGTTAGCATTACTAATTCAAGTCAGCATATATGTGTGTGTAGGATCTGGGTTAACAGTAAACATGCTGTCTATTACCATAGGAATGGAAATAGATTGCAGCATGGCTAAAAAAAACATACTGGTCAAGCAGAGACCCGATAAGTCCTGTTGGCAGAGTAGTTTATTGGTGCTAGGGCTACATGTTCTATGAGCAATGAGAATATGAGCACAAATGAAACCTGTAGAAATATCTCTTGAACAAGGTGGTTTATGTATTACTCAGCCTTTTAAGGTAGTTTTTAGAGAAGAGTAATGTTTGTACCCAGGCATTTATGACCCATTTAAACCTACACACCTGGCTGACCTTTTGAGTGATTGTATTTCATTGACTTTGCATTTTCAAACCGAACCTTTGTTAATTAAGGTCAAGTTTTGGACCATTTTTGACTACTTTATTCTTGAATTAGCCAGTGATTGAAAACCCCTAATAGATGCTGGCATGGAAAGCCAGTTTGACAACCACAAATATGGTCATGAATATCTTTTTTATAAGGAGCGGGACTTCATCACCAACCCAAAGACTCTGGGGACTGGCCTGACCTGCAGTGTGTTAGAGCCTATGTATGAAGGTGTATTGCTGGATGCTGAATTGGATATTTGGCATTTAACCGAATCTATAGTCATGCATGCTATGAAGTTTCCAGGGACAGGCAGACACAGTTTGTGGTGGATCCAACTACAAAACACAAGACATTACTTGTTGGAGTAACCCTAGCTGTTCCAGAGACTGTGCCACACATCAACACCTCTGAACCAGTTGACCTATTCCTATATGTAGCTCAACTACTATAGCATCAGCATTTAACCCGATGACCACTGGCTACTAACTTTCTGAGTAGCCAATGCAAGACTTGCTATATTTCATTCCAACAATAAAACT